TAATAGCGACAGAATACTTATTGAACGCACGTTATATTTCAAGAAACTTCAGTGCCAAAAAAAAAAAAAGTGTTCACCATAAAATTAATTACTTGTGAAAAGTTTTGTCGCTAAAATGTCATTGGTGAGTCATTTTCGTATGCAAGTGTGTGTGAGAAGCGGGAAGTGCTGTAAACAATCCCATTTTCCACGTGACGGAGATTTTTAGCCTGTAGTATTTGTTATAAATTTATGAAAGAAAGGTTTTAAGATATAGCTTCTATTGTTGAGGAAAAACATGATTAAGTTACGACAAAGTGATACAAACTGCTGTGCAAAGTATGGATGACATTGATTCACTAAAGAGATATTTGTGGATAAGTTGCACCACTAATTTTTTGACCGCACTATAGGTTAAATATAAACTGTTTTAACGTAAGCTCATAATTATTCTTCTTGTGTGTGGTTGCAGATGGTTTCGGTAAGTTATTAAAAATGTACTTTTTGTATATATTTTGAATCCCCATTATGTTATATATGTATTTGTTTTTCTTTACACTCCTATTTTCTTTTCTAATTGTCTAGTTTTTATACCGCCTCAACCCACGACATGGATGGTTGGAAGGCGTTCGGTATTTAGATATCTACCAACTAAAAACAAAATCCCCTCTCTTTCTTCGTCAGGATTTGTACACGCCCACTGCGCTGGGCGCGAATTACCAACGACCAGTGTGTCACGACGGTGATTAGATCGAGTCAAAGAGACGAAGGGAGCGAAATTAAATACACGGAACAGCCAGTTGACCCTGTAAAGGAAGGAAATATGGAGCAGAACGGAACAAGCGAGTTTTTCTGTCGACACATCAAGCACGACGAGGTGGAAGAGGCGTATAATATCGTCGACAAAGAGGGTTGGAACTTGACCCTTGAGAAATTTCGCCTACTCTGCAAGAAGCAGCCTCGGAATTTCTATGTCGCTGTAACCCCTGACGGAGAGGTTGCAGGTAAACGGATGTGTACCGTCACTTTAAAATTTTAATGCCTTTTGTTCTCTTGTCGCCCTGAGGTGTTGTCATTAGAGAAACTTGGCTTTCTCAAAGACCTACCAGATGCTGGGCACTGCGTACACCGAATTTTCCCCACCAATGTTGGCTTATGTTGAAAATTGACTTGAAGACCGACCCTTTCAAGAAAATAAACTTTTATGAAGAGGAGGGGGGGGGGGGGGTGTTCGGCCCCCTGCAGCAGCAGATCTCTCTAAGAGAACATTGCGACTCTTTCGGTAAGCAATATAAATAACGAGTATAGAACAGTTGCTGCAGCTTCTGACCATATGAAATCTTCACATGTAAATATCATTATTTGTCAATATGCTGACAGTCTGCTCTGCTAAAGACACAATTTTACGCGCAGAATTTCTGTACGTAACGGCGCCTGTGGTGTGATGGTTAGGCTCTTTGCCATCCTACGCTGAAGATGTGTGTTTGATTTCCAAGTTGAGAAGCTATTTCATCGAGAGTCTTTTTTCTGTGTGTTTGGACACTGTATCTCACTCAGCCCGAGATAGCCCTGATGGGAAAGGTTACAGCAGCCTGTGTTTTACGTGATCTAAATTATAAACGAAATGTTGAATCCTAGCTGGTTTTGTGTGTTTCTGTCTGTCTTGTATAACGACGTATTTATGTTTTAATTTCGGGTTAAGCACTCTACATTGACGGTATTCGTTCAGTTAACTCATGATTCCAAAATCCGGAATGTTTTACCCAGTACATTGGAAACCTGATATAACAAGGATGGTGGGACCAGAGAAAAGGTCCTGTTATATCAGATCCCTGTTAAATCAGAAATGCAAGGAAAGTAGGCATTTGTGGACTAATCTCAGGGCTAATTCGAAGTCGGCAGCACATCGCTTCACCCACTGCGTGTGCTTGCAGTGGCGTGGCTTGAGTGGGCTTGCCATCAATGCGTTACTCTCTCTCTCTCTCTCTCTCTCTCTCTCTCTCTCTCTCTCTCTCTCTCTCTCTCTCTCTCTCTTACTTTCTATACACTGTTAAAGAGCCTTTGTCCCTGCTATAACCGATTGGGCTCCGATGAGGCCCTGTTAAAGTGTTATTGCCGAGAACTTTTAATAGAGACAAAGAGTAGGAAAAATCGGGGATTTAAAAAATCCCTGTTATTATCGGACCCCTGTTATTACCGGGGTTGTTTTATATGTAGTTAAGAGATATCAAATCTTTTTATTCATTCGAGTGTCAGCTAGAGTCATTTCTGTTTTAAAATGAATATATGTGTATATATAAATATATGTTATTATATTATACATGCAAAGATGTTAATACTTTCAGTGAGAACACAATGTACTATTTATGTGTGACGGTTGTATTGTATATTGTAGGCCTATATATTGTACGTTAGGCCTATTAATTTTTTTTTTCATATTTGCTCAGTACTGTAAATGTTTGGTTTTTCCTCTATGTTTCCTCCAGGGACAGTATCGTACACACAGACGTTTGCAGATGAATACATCTTAGGGAATCTGGTGGTGAAAGAGACTATGAGGAAGAAAGGTCTGGGACGCAAAATAGTTCAAGACACTCTGGAAATGTTTCGGCACAAGGTCATTCATCTAACAGCCGTGCCAGGAGCAGACCAGTTTTATCTGTAAGGAATGAATTGATCAAACTTACGTTTAACAGCCTGTTGCTCACAATTTAGGTGTTTTGAAAAAGAAGGTCTGTGTCTGCAGTCATACCAGGAGAGAAAAAAAGCAATGGTTGATCCTGAACCTGTGTGTCATCTGTCTGTTCTCACTTTCGTTTGTCATGAATGCGTTTCGTCTTTGTATATTATTACTAACGTTTATTGCTCTTCTTCTATTGAGGTAAAAAGGGACTAAAGCTTTGAATTCATAAAATTCTAGACATGTTTCTGACTACTATGTAGATGTAAGAAATAGAACTTACGGCTATATCATTGCTTGCCAACCTGAGCAGTATCACCCATTAATTTGTTAATTTTGATGGGCGGTGGTGGGTGATGACCCAGGAAGTGACAGTGACATTAATGTTTAATGGTTTTTTATGCCCCGCTTGGAAAAAGTACTTTTGAGCAGTATGAACATTTAAGCCTCTTTAAAGAGGAAAAAGTGGACCCTTTCTAGTAGCTTTTCTTTACTGCCTTTTTCTTTCTCATTATGCCAGAAGTTGACTTTTAGAGGTCAGCATGTCTTATGGCTAGACTGTTTCTTTCGTGTTTTCAAATTAAAAGAATATCAGCTTACCTGTATTACAACTGTGCCTTCATACATAAGATAGTTATGCATGCCTGAATTTTGATACCGTTTTTTAATGCTGAAAATATAAATGTAATTTGTTGCAAAGGAGCAGGGAATAGGCTTTTGTGATTTGTAAGAGTTAAAGTAATGGCATATTTTATTGAGAAGTTATCCTTGCCGACTTTACTTATTATACTTTCTTCCAGAATAATTTGAAATTTCTTGTAAAACTCACTGGTTAGGGTGCTCTCTTTATTTCAGTAATCTTGGTTTCCAGATGTCAGAGCCCCAACAAGGTCACGAAATCCGTCACATATTGGTTGACGTCAAGCTGGTGGATGGGAGAGTACAGGCAATGGGTAATGCGGCAGACGACATCTCTATCGCACCTTTTGACAAAGCCAATCTAGAGGAGTTCATTCGATTTGACAGTCACATGCGTGGTTATGACAATACTGTGTATGCGTCGGTGGTAGCGGGCTGTACCAAGGTGCTCGTTGCAAGGAGAAAGTCGAACAAGAAATTTGTGGGTTATGTATCTGCCTTCATGAAGAGAGAAGAAATTGTTCTTGATGGATTGTTCGCAGATTCGGATGACATCGCCACCTTGCTGTTCAGGTGAGTTTTGTGTTGGATCTCTACAAGATGGCAATGAAGGTAAAAGATGATCTTCATATCGCTCTGAGATAATTTTTTTGCTTTTTGTTTTTGCTTTTGTTTGCATGAGTGCAATGCTCCAGGCAATCCAGATGCTTGAGTCTGTCGTCTTGGAAGCCAACCATCTATCCTTTATTTTTTCAAACAACCCCACCCCCTCCCCCCCACACACACATTTATGCCTCACACCCCATTCCTATTCTATTGAAACTTTGAAACTCGAGCATGAGCCCCCCCCCCCCTCCCTCCTTCTTGATAAAGTTTTAAAAACCCACAGAACAGCCCTTTTCTCAAGAAATCTGAGCATTTACCCCTTTATCTCTTCAACCCCCATCTCCATATCCTTCAGCCTGCCCTCCTCGACTTTTTTTGTCTAGAAGGACATTAAACTCAGAGGAAGTGTTCCAGAAAGAGCAATACATATACTAATTCATATATCACACAAATTCGAACTGGAACTTTCATGTATTTAAATAGATCATAAACGGAATACATATAGCTGAATGAAACAGAAATGTACTTAACTGTGGCTTTTAGTTATGTATATTATAATAGTTTTAAAGTTTCGCTCACTAAAAAGGAAGGGGTAAAATAAAATTGAATTGTTTTCTGTCAGTCTGTTCAACACGTTTTGCTGTGCTGTCTTTTCAAAAAGGATTTCAAGTGGAAAAGTTCTTTTCTTTCATAATGGCATCTTTTGGGTAAAGAAAACCATTAACCCGGTGCTTGAGCAGTTTCATTTATTTGCACAATAACATGCTGTTCACTAGTGTAATAACTCTCAAAGTTAAGCGAAAAACTGGTGACCATTATCATGAACACAAATTATGGTAAAGTTGTCGTAGACCAATTTTATAAACCCTGTCTAACGTCTTATTTTTGTCCCGAACAGAGAGATTCTGAACCAGTTCCCAGAGACGACAAAGGTCAAGTTACAGATGTTTCCATCCAATCAGTTTCTCGTGCAGTTTGGCCAAGTAGTGATGTCAGAGGTGTACAACAGGTACAGCCTAGGAGGAAACCCTACCCCTGTGCCAGAAGCCAAGACGTACAATGTATCTGACTGTGACTATGCCCTATGAGAGGTTTACACTTTTCAGTGATGGAAAACTTTACTAAAACTGCTGTAATTTTTATTTTTATTTTCGCATAATTTGTTACTTACTCACCTTTTCATTCTCTGTTGCTGTTAAGCGTCGAGGTGAGATGCATTTTTCTATGGTAGGCCAGCTCCGCAGCTCTGTCGGTAGATCTAGTGATATTATGTTTTCTCAGAGTTTCCTTGACACCCTCGATCCACCTTTTGCGTGGCCTTCCTCTTCCTTTGTCGCCGTAGTGCTTCGTGTTGTAGGCTCTCGCGGCTGGCTGTCCAGGTAACATACGTAACAGGTGGCCAAACTATTTTACTCTCTGTCTTTCTATGTAACGCAGGCAGAACTCAATGCTGATTGCTGCTCTTACTTCTTCATTTCTCTGCCTGTGTCGTCTTGTGATGTTAAGGGTTTTGCAGAGAAATTTTATTTCGCTTGCAGTGATTTTTCTTTCATGGGTTTTACTTTATGTCCAAGTCTGGCACTGTTACCATAATGCTGGTATGAATATTGAGGTGATAAGCTGTCTGTTTGTTGCCATGGGGATGTTTGGATGACATAGGAGGGGTGCGAGCTGGTAGGTGACAGCGTTGGCTTTTTTGAGTTAGCATTTCTATTTCTCTGTCTGTGGACCCGTTTTCAGAAAAAATACTGGCAAGATATTTAAACCCCTTCACCTGTTTCAGTAGTCATTTATTGACATGGATGTTCAGGGGACTACTCTTTCGGCTCACTTTCATAACTTCTGTTTCTGGCAGCTGTTGTTCAGTTCGGTAATGTGATTTTGGAGGCTTTTTTGGTTTGGATGAATAAAAAATTGGTGGTCTGCAAATAGAAGTTCCTTTAGGCTTCCTGGGCTCTGGTTGGCGTCTTGCGTTATTGTGTCCATATTATAAACAGGAGGGGAGATAGTATGAATCCCTGTCGTACTCCACATCCTACTTTGAACCAGTCTGTATTGCCTTCCTTCGTTCAAACTGAGCTTCTGCTTTTGGTAGATAGAGCTGTGACATCTAAAATTTGTCCTCTGACGCCATACTTTTCGAGTGTCTTTCAAAGTTTTGCATGGTTTACTCTGTCAAAAGCCTTCTCCTGGTCTATAAAGACGATGTTGTATTCTTTGTTGTGTTGTATTTATTAAGTTAGACAATTAGGCTATGTATTGCTACAAAGCATGGCTTTTTATTTGGGCTCCACTTTCAAACTGACTATTCTACGAGAACAACCAACCGAATTAGTGTAAGTTAACCAACACTTTTTCTCAGATAATGACAGTCACACCTTGTGCATTATTTCGTATAATCTATATATTTATGTATTTCCTGTTGACAACTCAGTCTTTGTATTTCTTTTCTTTTTCTTTCTTGGGTTGTAGCAAGATGTGCCATGAGCCCCCACTCCCCCAACAGGCCAACATGCTTTGCGACTATGCTTGGCATGAAGAATAAAACCCAGATAAGGGACTTACAACTGAATGTAAAATAAAAAATGAGCTTGAAGTGGAAGGGTAAAAATTAAGTTTCATTCCCATGTCGCAAGCAACATTCGCCCCCCAAAAATTTAAGAAAAAAGTTTTTCATGGTGAGTGGAAACAGGTTTTGTTGTACCAGTATTTATTTATAATGAATTCACTCTAACAAAGTCTTTGGTGTTCTCCATTCCATCTGTGCGTCACTGTGATCATGTTGAGAAGGATGAAGATGATCTAGTTTGGTTAATAAATGTGATGTTTTACAAACAATTTTTTTTTCTATTTGCTTGCATTATATTGCTATTAGGGTGACAAGCACCTTTTTATGTCCAACTGGTTCACATTGAGCTTGAAAAGCTAGTCTTCTTGGAGTCATATTTGTAGTCTAGTTTGCTAAATGCTGCTATGCTTTGCAATTATGTGAACCGGTGTAAATAACATATTTATATTTTGTATTTATCGGACATTATAAGTCAAGTATTATTTAATAAAGGTCAATTGTCTTAAAAGATACTTGACGTTTATTGATTCTGTGATTGTTTTAATGATTATTGATTGATTTATTTAATATTTGAATAGTTTATCAATTGTTGGTTGGATGACGGATGTTTGATAAATCAATGGGAGACAGAAATATTCAGGAAAACTGCATATTATTTTAAATAGGGATTTCTGGAAAGATGTATTCGTTTATTGTTTTAGGGAGATTTCTGGAAACAAAATGTTATGTAAGATTTCTGAGATAAAAACAAACAAACCTCCTTTTAAATTAAGACTTTGTTCAACAAACTTGAACAACATGCACCAGCATCATAATGGCAGTTCAATGCCAGGATCCGAGCGGACCTCAGCATTAACTGACTAATCCCTGGTGACAGAGAGCCACTCATCTCCAACAATATTTCTGGAGTAGAGATGGCATCTTCTCTCCATAGTAATCATGTTGTGTCTTTTCTCCACTAGCCTTTGGTGCCGTTCCGACAAACAAATGGATCGGCTGTGTTGAGCGTACAGTTTATTTGCTTGAGTAAAGAGGGAAAGAAAAGAAGAAGGGCTTACCAGAAGCACACTCCAATCACCCAGGAGCACACAGTAAAAGGTAAAAATGAAAGTACTTATGATTTATAATCGTGTATCAACCGAAGAATAGATACAGAAACGCCTAAAACTCCCCTAAAACGTAATTTTAAAAAAATGTAATTATTTTGTGCTTTCCAAATGCCCTGATTCAAAAGAAAAACATTATTATGAAAGCAAATTATTTTGAAGATAAGATAGAATCCGGGAAGATAAAACAGAAGATGGGAACAGGACTTAAAACATGGCTAGGATTTTAACACCCCCCCCCCCCCAAAAAAATAATTTTTAAAAAAAAATTAAAAATTAAAAAGCCAACCACAAAAAACTCAACAGGCAGAATGGCAAGAGAAATGAAGATGAGTGTGTTATTATAGAACGTTAGAAAGGCCCAAAAAGCTAAGACAACTAAAAAGAAAAAGTACGGAATGGGACTGAGGACTGACTTCACAATAACTCCTTCATCAAGCTTGCTATCAAAATTACAATGTCCTTCACCCGAAAGGGGTTACATTATCACAGTCTGTTAGCCCCCCCCCCACCCCAACATTACATATATATATATATATATATATATATATATATATATATATATATATATATATATATATATATATATATATATATATATATATATATTATATCACTTACAAATTTCGTCTCTGCTATTAATCACTCAGACTCATTATAGAGGAAAACAAAAACCGGGAAAATAAAACAGGAGAAAAAATGATAACTCATTATAGAGAAAACAAATACGCAAGAGAGGAAATCACGAAAAAAAATGATATAACTCACCTAAGACGTTACTCTCCTATGAACCCTATGTCTAATTGGGTTGTAATCCGTATAAAAACGCATAAAAAAAGACTTGAGGCACAAATAACAGCAGACAAGATGGTTGGGACTCCAAAAGTTTCTGCTTCGGTCTAGTGGTCCACTTTAATTGGTAAAAATAAATAGTTTCATTCCTGCACCCCCCACCCCCCCACCCCCCCCCCCCCCCCACCCCAAAAAATACTTTTTCTTTCTTAGAAAGAATTTAAAACCCCTTTCCCTTAAGACTTCACCGCGGCTTAACAAAAATTTCCACGGCAAACAAAAAAAAAAGGTTTTGGGCTGACCCCCGGCTTTTTTTGGAGGAGGAGGAGGGGTGTGTGCTGAAGTTAGCTTTCACCCTTTTCAAACCAAAACTAACAGTAACGACAGATTACTCACTGGTAAAACTGGTCAGCTATTGAAACTGAAAGCAGTTGAACGATCTTGCGTGGAAACATTTCCAGAGTGTCTACAATCATTCTGCGTCCAAGACCTCTCTTCTGCATGGTTTCTTTGACAACCACGTTACCCAAAACGTATTCATCAGCAAAGGTCGGCATGTAGCTGATTATTGCTAGTGAAAACTTGAGAGAGGAATAGGAAAGGGGTGGGGGGGGGGATGAATTACTCTTCACACAATGAGTAAGAAGAACATTAATCTTTAAAATTGGCATCAAAATAACGTCTCTATTTCAGTTTACATATTTTTTTTTCTTTTTTAAAACGATGATGATGATGATGATGATGATGATGGTGATGATGATGGTGATGATGATGATGATGATGATGATGATGATGATGATGACGATGATGATGACGGAGGCACAATAGTATGACAGTGGTTATAATTAGTATTGTAGTTGTAGTCTCTGCCTAAATGCACGCGTTCGTCTTACGACAGGCTTTTTACCATAATATAATTTAAGACGTTACAATTTATGCCAGATTATTTCCTCTAAACGCACGCTTCGATTCACAAAACACACTGACATGTTTAATTAACTACCCATACAGTGTGCATCATGATAGCAAAGACATGTCAAGACAAACGGATATGTGTGAGGCAGCGTGGTGGAATCAAGCGCTTGTCAACACAATGAAAGTGAAGAAATTGTCATTTTCCTGCAGGTTTGGGAATTTTAATCGAACTTTTATTTTTTTTGGTTCAACACCTTTCATACCCATTAAAGAGCACATTTCTGTGTGGATTTTTATTGAAAAAGTTCATTAAAGGCAGAAGAAATGTACATTTTCATTATCCACGGACTCTCAAGCTAGAGAAATAACTCAACTTTGAATATTACCTCTGAAACCAGATGACCCTCACCTCCTTCAATCACACATATCTCGACTTCTATGCAAAATAGGTGAACATTATTTTCACCCAAAACAATGAAAATGGATTGGCCTTAAGATGATACTATCAACTCCGTATGCCCCAAAATTGACGAGAGCCTGATTCCACCGCGTCGTGCCACATATGTGTTTGGTGAGGCTGCTCCTAGTGCTGCACAATGAAAGTGACGGACAGCTTTATTTCACCCTACTGCCCATCGTCATATAAGACTGGGCAACCGATAAGGTTTTTTTCTTTTTTTTTTTTTTCTTTTGTGGTTTTTTTTTTTTTGTGAGACTGAAATGTCTTTAGATTTGTCTTTTGAAATGCGTCTTTGAGAGAAGGTGTGTGGGTGACTGTAATGTTTAATTTAGGACTATGAAGCGCAACAATGCTGTAAAACACCAGATAGGTCTGATGGATTAATTTTAGTCGAGTTGTCAGCTGTACTGGAAGAACT